GGAAGGCCCTCTATGAGGTGGATTGATTCAGTGACTGGGGTAATTGGGATGGGAGTGTCAGAGACAGTGTGATTGGCACAGGACAGAGCGGAGTTTAGGGCTCTTGTACATAGGGTCGCTATGAGTCGCAGGCGACTCGATGGCACATAACAACAACAACACATTAATTTGTTGTATAGATATTTCTTTTCCGCTGGGGATTGGCCCCTTCTAACAATATGCTTCCAAGGAATACCTTAATTTAACATTCTCCAGAGGAGCCCTGTTTCTTCCTTTGGTAGTTCATGGGATGAATATTCAACAATCTTTTCCGACACCAAGACTGAAAGGTATTGGTTTTTCTGTCATGCTTAGAATAGTTTATAAAATATACTGCAAATCGTAAATAAAATTCGTGTAGTGTGTGTGTGTGTGTGTGTGTGTGTGTGTGTGTGTATAATGATATAAAGAAAAAGACTTGAAGTACTATAGATGATCAATATTAGTTACACCTCAACATAAGAAAACAAAACTCCGCACCATTGGAATAATAGACAACATTGTGATAGATGGAGAAAAGACTGAAGCTTTCAATCATTTCATGTACTTGGATCCACAATTAACACCCATAAAAAGAGCTGTTAAGAGACCAAAAGACTACTAAACTGGGGAAATTCTGCCAACAAGAACTATAAAATTCCAAAGAATAAAGAAATGAGTTTCAAACCAAAGGTGCGCTAGATTCAAGTCATGGTCTTTTCAATTGCCTCGTATGCATCTGAAAGGCAGGCAATGAATAGTGGTGTTAGTAGAGAGAACAGAATATAGCGTGAACTGCCAAAAGACAAAATAAATCTGTGTTGATTGAAGTCCAACCAGAGTGCTTCTTGGGGGCAAGTATGGTGAGAATTCATTTCACTTACTTTGTGCATATTCTTAGGAGGAAACAATCCTTGGAAAGAGACACCATGCCAAGAAAGGCGGAGGGTCAGGGAAAGAGAGGAAGATGCTCAACAAGGTAGATTGACACAATAACTGCCCTAATGTGCTTGAGCATGACAGAGGAGGAGAATGGTGCAGGGCAGAGCAAGGTCCAGAGCTTTTGTTCATAAAGTTACTACGAATTACAGTCCATCCAGCAAAACCGAACAAAAGCAGCATTATAGATATATATATAAATATTGTCTATAACAGAAACATTTTTATCAATAAAAACATTTTATTAGAAAATATTTAAATAAATATAAAATATATAAATATTTAAATAAAATATAAATATAGTAAATATATTTCTTTCAATATATATGTTGTTTTGTTAGTTGCCATCAAGTCACAGCCACCTCATGTGAACAGAGTAGATTTGCCCCAACAGTTTTTCACTGTGTTTATAGGGTTATCAAGGTTGTGACCTTTCAGAAGTAGGTCTTTGTTCCAAGGTACCTCTGGGTGGGTTAGAACTTCCGACTTTTAGATAGTAGCCAAGCTCTTAGCTGTCCATACTATTCAGGGTCTCCTTCAATTATATGTACATTATTGCCATTGAGGCAATTACAAGATTTGTTTTCATAGTTATTTTTAATATTTTGAAGAGGAATCTATGAAAATCAGGCATGATAACTCAGTCTAGAAATGGTGTAGAATGGACAATTATTGACCATCTCAGCTTTGATTTCATGTGATGACTATGTCACACAACGTAGACATTCAATGGACATTTACTGCATCAACAAAGTAGAGGACACAATAAGTCACATGAAATCATAGTTTATACCTTTTTCTACAAGTTATTCCTAACATACTCATTCTAAATTTAGTTCCAGGAAAACTTCTCACATTTCTAAAGGCTTCTTCCTTCCCAGGAAGAGGGATTCTGCAGAAACTCATCACGAGAACGATTTGATGGTCATGCCTCTGGAAACTCTATGAACTTCGACAAATGTCAATAGGTATAGAAAGGCTTCAGGCCTTTTGTTCACAGGGTCACTATGAGTCATGCTTGACTCAAAGGCAACCAACAACAACAACTGAGTCTGTAGCTCTCTTACCTGGTATTCTGAATGGTGGAAACATCTTTATTCAAAGAAGTGAGCTTGCTTTTCAAAATCCACAAAACTGTGAAGTAGAACACCAAATTGATCTGTGGAAACAACATGAAAAATGAGAATTTTCTTTTGAGGCTATTATTTGCCATCTCACTTGACATAATTATCTTTTATCTGCAGTTTGTTGTACTGTCATGACTTGAGTGTTGCTGTGTTCCTGAGAGCTGTGTTACTCACGGTGAACAGAATTCAGTGGGAAATTCCTAGTTAAAATAAAATAGAAAGAAGGCATGGTGATCTACTTCCGAAAAAGTGTCAATGAAAATTCTGTGTCTTACTATGGAAAAATTTCTACTATGATCCTAGGAGATGAGCTCCTTGAGTTGGAAAGCACTCAAAATACTCAACAGACACAAGAATGGCTTTGGTTGGACATTGTTTTTGGTCAGAATAGAACAAGATTTGCCAGGGAATCGTTTGTGAGTTGTAACAGTACGAGCAGAGTTGAGGTGACTTCAGAGTTTACAAACTAAGGACCCAGGAAGGTTCTGTTGACTAAAAGGAGGAAAGAACAACTTGGACGAAGAGCTTAAATCAAGAGTTTGGTTTGTATAATAGACAAAGTGCTAGTCAATAAGCCTTTTATTTTAAGAACTACCTTCCCTTTGTAACTTGATTTGTGTCACTGTTAGAACCTCTACTTGGAATATTACTGCTTTTAATTTTTGACTCATGTACTTTTAACATGTTAGTTAAATTTGTGTCTTCTAGGTTGCAGCACCTCCATGATGCATCTTCAAGGATATGAGCATGTACGGCTAAGCACAATTGATAACAGTGCATCTAAATTCCAAAATCAATCTCCACAATAGTCTATGTGTTTCCTATTGCCAAAGGGGCCCTTTAGAGTAGTGAGAGAAGATCTTCACCCTGAAACCTACAGCGTCCCTTTTCAGCAGGAAGTAGCTAAGAGAATACACCATCCCCTTTTCCTTATGAATCAGGGTGAAGTCTCTCTCAGGGAGGAGTGATAGGGAATGGCAAAGGACACACTGACAAAAGATATCAATCAGAACTCGTTTTGACAAGCACTGTGGCAATAGGACAATTAAAATAGACTTTCAAGGAGGAAAAAAGAGGAACAAACTGGGGGGGGGTGTTAGAGAAAATAGTGCAACAATGAATGAATGGAAATCCAAAATCTCTGTAAATGTTCATTAAAATTAATAAAATAAAATTTAAAACAATTAAAAAAAAGTTTGGTTTGAACAAGCTAAAATGCCTATGGTATATTCATGTTTAGCCGTCAGGTTGCTAGTTGCTACTGGGTAAGCACCCAAAGCCTGGTGACCCCTTACACAAGGGGAATAAATACTGCTCAGTGCACACTGTCCCCAGGATGGGTTTGCAGACAAGACCATTGTGATCTGTAGAGTTTCCAGTGGTAGATTTCTGGAATTAAATCCTCAGGAAACTTCCTAATTGGTCTTGGTCAGGAAGTTCTGTTGAAACCTTTTCAGCATTGTAGCAATACACAATACTCTCCTGACATGTGAAGTACACTGGACAGAAATGAACCTCTGAATGGAAGATGAGAAAGAAGATGTTACCATGGAACACTCCTGCCTCCTTTATGTATCAGGCAACCATGTTTCATGCGTTCGTGTATCAGGCAACCATGTTTCATGCGTTCGTGTTTAATTTGTTGCATCTGCATTGAGAAGAGAGGATCAGACTGCATGTATAAATTTGGGAGTTGTCAGAATATATTTAAGCAGTTACTAAAAGCCATAGACTGGAGGGGATCACAGAGAAGTGAGTGAAGGCAGAAAGGAGAGGAGATACATGGGTCAGATCTGAGCTCTGTGATATTGACAAACGAACCCATCATGTAGCTAAACAGAAATAGTCTGATAGTTGGCTACATTCAGAGTGTATTATCATTGCTAATGAAGTTGTATTGAAACACAGTTGCCTCTTTTGTCTCCTATGGCTGTTTTCTTATTAATTGATTGTGTTTCTGTACTGAATCAACAATCTGACATCTAAAGCCCTGTCTTGCACAAAGGGATTGTACTCCTCTAGTACCAGAGATTTTAACCCACTCAATAATATCACAGAAGCAAACACCATTCAATTTGCTTCTCATAAAGATAGCATCAAAGAAACTATGGAGTAGTTTTACTTTGTAGCGTATGGGATTGCCAACATACTCAATGTTATAAAGCAACAACAACTTGGCGTTTCTATTGTATCAAATAAAGCGTTTTCAAAAATAAACTCTTGCTAGTGAAAACCCAGCAAAGACAGATGAGGGATGGACCACATTAGGCTAAATTTCCTTAGCTTAATGTCATTTCCACTTTAATAGATAATAAGCATCATTCTCTGCCCTGAGCAACTCTTTTTGTGAGCCCTTGATAGATACAGAACTGATCTACAAGAGTTTTTTAGACTGATGTTTGTGAAAGCAGATCGCCAGGTACTTCTTCTGCGGAGTTACTACTTGGGCTCCATTCATCAACCTTTCCGTTAGCAGCCAAGGATTTAAGAATGTGCACCTCCAGGTCTCCACAAGTCAGCACTCTGTCATTGTTTCTGTTAGGTGCCCCACTATCATTCAAAGCAACACTACAAAGAGCAGATCTAAAAGCTTGCCCTACCCTGTGTCATCTCTGTTATGCCCAAGCTCAAAACTGTAGTTATTATGTCAATCTATCATGTTGAGGTGGGGCCCTTCTGACAGTACGCCAAAAGTATGTGAGATGAACAGTCACCATCTTTACCTTTGAATCCAGCACATCATTGAACACCTGCCCTTGGTTACCTACCAAGATAATGATGGCTACTGGCCCCATGAAGCTCCAGATGAAGCCTTTATCAAGCTTCAGCCAGCAGCTGTTGAGAAAGAAAGAAGAGTATTAGTTGCCCATCCCTAGGTAGAAGGTATCAGTTACCAGTTGTTGTTAGTAGATTCCGATGCCGAACTCTCTGGGACTGCAGTACAACTTCTTGCCACTAAGCCACCAGAGCTCGCCTGATGCCAAACTTTCTGGATTAAAATTCGAGCTTCCTTTGCTTTCACTAGTTATGCCAATTGTGCAGAATTTGGTGCTTCATCTGAATAAGCTGTTCTTGTTATAAAAGTAATGTGCCACCTTGTTGTTGTTGTTGTTGTTGATTGCCTTCGAATCAAGCATGATTCATAGCAACCCTATGAATGAAAGACCTGAAGCCCCTCTACAACTATCAACATTTATCCAAGTTCATAGAGTTTCCAGAGGCATGTTGTTTAGGAAGTGGATGCCACTCCTTATTCGTATATAATGTGCTTCATTTGTATAAAAAGCATCGTGATCATCCAGTGGAAAAGAAGTGTGCTGCTAGCCCAAAGGCAAATTATTCAAATCTACCAATTGCTCCTCAGGAGAAAGATGGGAAATATGCTCCCATATAGTTTGTAGCCTTTGAAAACTCTCTGGAAGGTCAGCTATGAGTCAGTTCCAACTCAACAACATTGAGTAATGAGTTACTGGTATGAGCATTAGACGTCACCATTGGAAGGTGCCCTCAGGTTGGTTCTGACCCCTAGCAACCTCACGTGCAACAGAATAAACGGTCACTCAGTCCTGCTTCGTCTCCACAACTACTGCTACATTTGAGTCTATTGTAGCATCTACTGAGTCAGTCTACATCTTTGAGTGTCTGTTTCTTTGTTGATGACTCTGTTTTACCAAGTATGGTGTCCTCATCCGAGTCTTACTTCTTCTTGATGTTCAAAGTATGTGAGGTGACATCTCGAGATTCTTGCTTCAAAGAAGCATGCTGCTTACATATCTTCTAAAAGAGATTTTTTACTTGTAGTCTAGAGTATATTCAACAATCTTCAACAACATCACAAGAGAAGAGCAAAGATGTCCCTTTCATGTAAAAAAAAGGTGTGCTCAACCCAACTCATGGTCTTTTCAAAAATCATCTTGCATGAATGCAAAAGCAAACAGCTGTAAAGTCTTTAAACATCACCTAGCACACAGCAAGCACTCATGACCACTAAATATCATTGCTTTCTACACTTGAACTCTCTGACTCTCTCTCTCTCTCTCTGTGCGTGTGTGTGTACATATATTTATGTGTATGTGCGTGTGTGTGCGTATATATGCACACACACACACATATATAGTATATATATAAACATGTGTGTGTGTGTGTGTATAGTTTGATACAGGCCATGGTCTTTGCAATCACTTGTTATGCGTCAGAGAGTTGGACAATGATTAGGGAGGATAGAAGGACAATTGATGCCTTTGGGCTGTGGTGCTGGAGAAGAGTATTAAATGTACCATGGACTGCCAAGAAAACAAGCAGATTCATCCTGGAGAGAGTTAAACCAGGCTGCTCCTTGGAAGCAAGGATTCTGAGGCTCCGTCTGACATGCTTTGGACATGTTGTAAGGAGGGACAGGTCCTTGGAAAAGAACATCATGCTTGGGAGGGTGCACGGACAGCACAGGAGGGGAAGACCCTCTATGAGGTGGATTGACAGTGACTGGGGTAATAGGGGTGGGTGTGTCAGAGGCAGTGCAATTGGCACAGGATAGAGCAGGTTTTAGGACTGTTGTACGTAGGGTCACTAGAGTCGCAAGCGACTTGATGGCACATAACAACAACACAACATTGCCACTATACTTATACAAAGGAGTTCTGGTGGCTTAGTGGTAAGAAATTGCACTGCCAAAGCAAAGATATGCTGTTTGAATCTACAAGCTGATCTATGGGTCGCTATGAGTCACTAGCAAATCGACAGCACATAAAAACAACAACATATATAGCTTAGATATTTATGTGTGTGTGTGTGTGTGTGTGTGTGTGTGTGTAGTTGTTGTTATGTGCTGTTGAGTCACCTGTGTCTCACAGTGACCCTATGTACAGCAGCTCTGAAGCCTATCCTGAGCCAGTCTCACTAATTCTGACAAACCTACCCCCATGGCCTTAGTTCCTGTATAGGATTGGTTCCTCGTGGCCACATGCCCAAAGTGTGTAAGACAGAGCTTCAACATCCTAGCCTCACAGGAGAAACTTGATTTCAGCCATATTTGTTTTCTTAGCAGTCCATAGTATGTTCAAGACTCTTCTCCAGCACCACAACTCAAAAGCATCAATTCTCCTTCGGTCATTCTTAGCCTTTGTCCAGCTCTCTGATACAAAGCAAGTAATTGTGATGATCATGGCCTGGATCAGTTGCACCTTAGTCTCTAGACTGACATCATTGCTTCTCAGATTCTGAAAAGGTCCCTGGCAGCAGAGATAGAGACAGATAAAGATAGAGATATATAGAGATAGAGATAGAGATGATAGAGATAGAGATATATATCAGAGAGAGAGATACATCGGAGAGTTGGACAGTGAATAAGGATGATAGAAAGAGAATTGGTGCCTTTGAGTTGTGGTGCTGGAGTAGAGTGTTGAATATACCACGGACTGCTAGGAGAACAAACAGGTTTGTCCTGGAGAAGATGAAGCCAGAATGCTCCTTGGGATCAAGGATTCTGAAGCTTCATCTGACATACTTTGGGCATGTTGCTAGGAGGGACTGGTCCTTAGAGAGGGACACCATGTTTGGGAGAGTGGAGGGACGACGCCGGATCGATTCTGTGATTGGAGTGATGGGAATGAGTGTGTTTGAGACGGCGAGGTTGGCACAGGACAGAGCGGAGACTAGGGCTGTTGTACATAGGGTCGCTATGA